CAGGGCAATGAACAGGCAGACACTGCTGCGCGGTCAGCAGTACATGACCTACCAATTTCCTATCGAGGTGTTCCATTTCTGGACTATTTTGCTGCAATAGCTACCCACCTTCGCACCCGTTGGCAACAACGTTGGTCAACTCTGCTCGGTAACAAACTTCATTCTATTAAACCGAGCATAGGTTACTGGCCATCTTCTTGTCATCAGTGCCGAGGTTGGGAGACCCCTCTCTCCCCGCCTTCATGGCACCTCTCTTTTCATTATCTCTGGGGGACCCCCTTCTCCTTTAAACTTTTCCTTACCAGCGATCTACTGCTTTACATCATAAAGGCCTCACCTAGATTATGCAGCTCAGTTCTGGTCTCCATATTACAGAATGGACATAAATTCGTTAGAAAACATTCAGCAAAGAATGACCAAATTAATACATAGCATTAGAAATCTTCCGTATGAAGAACGACTGAAAACTCTTAAACTACATTCACTTGTAAGACGAAGAATGAGGGGAAACACGATTAAAGTGTACAAGTGGAATATGGGTATTAACAAAGGGGATGTAAATAAGGTCTTGAGGATATCTCACCTAGAGAGAACCCGCAATGATGGATTTAAATTAGACAAGTTTAGATTTAGAAAGGATATAGGAAAGTACATGTATTGGTTTGGAAATAGGGTAGTTGATGAGTGGAACAGTCTACCTAGTTTTGTTATTGATGCTAAAACCTTGGGTAGCTTCAAATTTAGGTTGGATATATACATGAGCGAGAGGGGTTGGATTTGAGCGGGACTTGCATATATTAGAGGATAGTTATCAGACCTTATTTCTTGGGTAGCATTGAAAATTGGGTTGGGCAAATGTTTTGTTAGCAGGATGTATTGTAAAGGACCTGCCTAGTATGGGCCAACAGGCCTCTTTTCATATGTTTCACTGTAAACACTTGGTCTACACACCCCCTACCTTTCCTAAAGGCTCCTTGTTCATCTGCTATCCCGCTCTCTGTCTTACTCATAATTCTATCAATAATAACTCTACCATACACTACTAGGTACACTCAACAGACTTATTTCCCTATAATTTTTACATATACTATTGCCGCATTTAATTTATATTGTAATCTGAAGTAACTTGCTGTATCTTCAACATTTCTACATTCAATCTCTATAAAATTGCGGATCTTTGAATTAGAACTTGGAAATAATATATCTCTTTTGTGATCGACCATCTGTCTTGACCAGTCTTATTGTAGTTAACTGCGTAAGAATTCTTCTTTAATATTACGTATATTCAGTAATGTGGCTTATAATTCGCTGGTCAAAATACATTACATAATTTGTGGCCATCTTTTAAGAACATAAGAAAGAAGGAACACTGCACCGGGCCTACTGACCCATGCAAAGCAGGTCCATGCTCCCCCCTCAATTAGCCCAATGACCCACCTAGTCAGGTCACTTCCACTTAAGGAAGGAGCAAGGCATCAGACCTAGTAGCACAAGCTAGTCAGGTCCAACTTACACCCACTCGTGTATTTATCTAACCTATTTTTAAAACTACACATCGTTTTAGCCTCTATAACTGTACTGGGGAGTTTGTTCCACTCATCCACAACTCTATTACCAAACCAGTGCTTTCCTATATCCTTCCTGAATCTGAATTTTTCCAACTTGAAACCATTGCTAAGAGTCCTGTCTTGGCTGGAAATTTTCAGCACGCTACCTACATCCCCTTTATTTATTCCTGTTTTCCATTTATACACCTCGATCAAATAATCCCTAATTCTACGTCTTTCGAGAGAGTGCAGATTCAGGGCCTCAGTCTATCCTCATAGGGAAAATTTGATACATGGGATCAACTTTGTCATCCTCCTCTGTACGTTTTCCAGTACATTTATGTCCATTCTGTAATACGGTAACCAGAACTGAGCAGCGTAGTCTAAATGAGGCCTAACCAAGGATATATAGAGTTGAAGAACAACCTGAGGACTTCTATTATTTATACTTCTAGATATGAAGCCAAGGATTCTGTTAGCTTTATTGTGAACACTAATGCACTGTTGTCTTGGTTTTAGATTACTGCTAACCAGAACTCCTAAATCCTTTTCACAATCAGTAGTATTAAGATCTACATTATTTAGTTTATATGTGGTATGGTTATTTTCCTGTCCAATATTTAGAACTTTGCATTTGTCTATATTAAACTGCATCTGCCACTTCTCCAATCATTGCACGAGTCTATTCAAATCATCCTGGAGTGCTCTAGTGTCCTCATTAGAATGAATTGGCCAGCCTATTTTGGTGTCATCAGCAAATTTGCTTATGTCGCTATTTATTCCCTCATCTATGTCGTTTATGCAAGTTGTGAACAACAGGCCCAACACTGACCCCTGCGGAACACCACTTGTGACATGCCCCCATTCTGATTTCTCCCCATTTCTGTAAAAACTCTGCTGCCTATTTGTCAGCCATGCCTCTACCCAGGAAAAAATTTCTCCTATTCCTCAATAGCCTCTGATGTGGAACTCTATCGAAAGCCTTACTGAAGTCCGTATACACAATATCATTTTTATTACCATGATCTACCTCAAACACCTTAGTGAAAAAAGTTAGTAAATTTGCAAGACAGGAACGCCCCTTTGTAAAACCGTGTTGAGATTCATTAATCAATCTGTGCCTATGTTAGACAGCCTTCGATAATGCACTGCCTTTCTTGGGTGGCTAACCCTCCGGGGTTAAAAATCCAAACGAAATATTATCTTAATTTCTCTACTTGTCTGAGGAACATGTCGCTAGTTACAGCAATCGTGCATAGTTATTATCACCCTGTTCTACATAATCTGTTATTTCAGGAATTTCGCTAGTATTTTCCCGGGTAAAAACTGAGAGGAAGTAGGTATTGAAAATTTCACATATCCTTATCACTGTCAGTGATCTGACCTGAGTTACTCTTAAGTGGGCCAATCTTGTCCCTAATCTTACTTCTGTATACCTGAAAGAACCCTTTTGGTTTAGTTTTTGAATCCCTTGTGACTTTAGCCTTGTACTCCCTTTTTGCTTTTCTTGTTCCTTTTTTTATTTCTCTTTAATTGAATATATCGATTTCTTAACTGCCCATCCCCTCTTTTGATACACCTATATATTCCTCTCTTTTGACCAGTGAGATGTTTTAATCTATTGTTCATCCATTTGGGATCATTTTTGTTAGATCTAATTTCCCTACTCGGAACAAAAGTTGTCTGGGCAGCTAGAACTATGCTCTGAAAAACGTCATATTGGCAACCAAGATCACCTACCTGACCCATAGTCAGGACATCCCAATTTAGCCCACCCAGGTAATTTTTCAGTCCCATGAAGTCGGCCAAGCGAAAATCTGGGACAGAGGTTTGATTGCAGTTATCTGGGTAATTCCATGATATATTGAAACTAAGTGATTTGTGATCACTTTCCCCAAGCTCATCATTAACCTCAAGATTATTAATTAGTGAATCTTTGTTGGCAAGAACCAAGTCAAGCAGATTGTTGGTTCTGTCACAAACTGTTCTAAAAAGCAATCCTGAACTGTGTCAAGAAAGTCACTAGATTCAAAATTTCCTGTTGTATTGTTCCAATCAATTTGTCTAAAGTTAAAATCTTCCATTAACACAACATTTTCATATCTAGATGCCTTATGAATTTCGTTCCATAACAGCTTACTGCACTCTCTATCAAGGTTTGGGGGCCTATAAATCCCACCCAAAATTAATTTGTCACGACCCTCGAGAAACTGTAGCCAAACAGATTCTGTGTCCGATGTTTCTAATCTTATATCATGTCTAAGACAACAATTTAAATTATCTCTAACATACATTGCCACTCCACCACCCTTCCTGTTGACCCTATCAGTGTGGAATAGTTTATAACCCTGTATGTTGCATTCAGAAGGCATTTCTCTATCTTTCAGGTTGAACCAGGTCTCTGTTATACCAATAATATCTATAGTATTACCTACACTTGCAAGTAATCTTAGCTCATCTATCTTATTTCTTAGACTCCTACTATTTGTATAGTAAACCTTAAGGGAGCTAGTCACTCGTTGCCCTCTACTATCTCTCTTTGTTTGTTGATCAATTGATTTGCCTCTACTAGCAACTTTATTTTGAATATTGTCTTTTAAACATATCCCTGAGGTATCCCAGTAATATCTGTTGTTTTCAACCCTAATACTGCAGCCTGATTGTGTCCCACGAACACCTATACCTCTATAATCTATCAGTTTAAAGTCCTAGACAAGTCATCAATTACCCTCTCAATCGAGTTGGCTAATGCAACCACTCCATCTCCAGAGAGATGCATATCATACATATCACGTTTGCCACAGAAGTTGTCCCAGTTATCAATGAATGGAACTGCAAGTTCCTTGCAGTACCTGTCCAGCCAGCAATTTATACCAATTGCCCTAGACATCTATTCATTGCCCACTTCCTTTCTGGGCAAGATGCTACATATGATAGGGATCCCTCTCTTAGACCTGATTATTTCTATGGCTGACCTGTACTTATCCAGTAGCTCCTGTCTCCTGCCCTTCCCAATGTCATTACCCCCAGCACTAAGCCAGATAATGGGCTTGTTCCCATTACCTGACATAATATTATCCAACCTACAACTGTCACCACCACCAGCTCCTGGGAGGCACACACTCTGTCTGCCCTTTCTATCTCTGTTACTAAAAGCACGGTCTATATATCTTACCTGAGAATCTCCTACAATTAGAATATTCTTACCTTGATTAGCGGAGGAATCAATGGTACCTTCAACCTCACTAACCACTGAAGTACACTCGCCTTGGAGAACACGGAATCGATTTCCTACCTTCACATCTTCACTATTAACTCTCCTTATCTTCCTTCTTCCTGAACTGTGAACCACTTGTGCCTACCATTATATTAATTCATGTAAATTGCATTATATGGTTTAAAGAAAAAAGTATTAGCGTCAAAAATACTAAATATGGTTTGTTGTGTTGCCAGACTAATAGTGGATATTGTATGTTGCTGTATCAACATGTGGGGACCAAGACTGTTTCAACATGTAACCAAAAATACTGCTGAAACAAGTGTAAAGTCTTCAAGAGGAAACTGGACAAGTATCTTCACCAGGTGCTGGATCAACCAAGCTTTGATGGAGTGGGTCAGTGGAGCACCAGGAGTAACATCCTGGTGGAGGAGGCAATCACCAGATAAGCCTGACCCCAGGCTGGGCTCTGGCAGTAGAAAAACACTCAGAACTCATCAGAGGTTAAGGTTAGTTTGTCAGTAGTGTGTGTGAGGAGTTTATGGCATTTTATTGAGGAGATCTTCAGTCTTTGTCAGTATAGTTTATTAAATCTATCCGATGTAGTAACTGGGTTGACTGATGCCCCTTGCTCCCGGCATTTTAGTCGCCTCTTACGACACTCATGGCTTACGGAGGAAGAATTCTGTTCTGCTACCCCACGGAGAATAAAGTATTTATATGACACTATTACTGGAGAGTCATTGCAAAGATCTAGTGTCATATAAATACTTTATTCTCCATGGGGAAGTGGAACAGAATTCTTCCTCTGTAAGCCATGCGTGTCGTAAGAGGCGACTAAAATGCCAGGAGCAAGGGGCTAGTAACCCCTTCTCCTATATATATATTACTAAATTTGAAAGGAGAAACTTTCATTTTTCCTTTTGGGTCATCCCACCTCGGTGGGATACGGCTGGTACATTGAAAGAAGAAATATTTTATAAATTTTGTTTCCAGAAACTGTCCGTCTCCCCCCAAGGTAGTGACCCAAACAAAGAAGAAATGCTTTTACCACCAGTCTTGCCAGAGAAGCGCTGATACTACACTTCATAAATAGTAATGTCTCCACCCATCCTTTAGGGTGCAGGTACTGTACTTCCTTAGTTGTGTTATATAGTAATTGAAGAGAATTGTTGGACAGATGTACTTGAAATATTTGTCATCTTATATTAGTGATTTATATTAAAAGTCATATAGTTATATGTTGTATAGTTGAAGGTTATTTGGCAGTTGGTCAGTTTTGTTAATACAGACAACTGCTATTACAAGAAAGTAAATTGTATGGAATCTAGTCCAGTGTATACAACCTAAGTTGACATAAGTTGGATTGAATATGGTATGGATTGAGTCACCAAAATTATTTTTTTTTTAATAAGATATGTGCGGCATCTGCGGTCACGTTATACAAGTCTTACTGACATACAACTGTTTCCATCCCATTTGTTGTCAAATTAATGTTGTAAAAGGCGACTAAAATGCCGGGAGCAAGGGACTAATATCTCTTTGTGTATAAATTACTAAATGTAAAAAGAAAAACTTTGTTTTAGTTAGCTGCCTCAATGGCAGATGCTCAGTGTGTTGAGAAAACGAACAAATACTTGTTTTGTGTGCGTGAGAAAGTGATGTATAGGTACCATCAGCAAATTTTATCTAAAGCACAATACTATTCCCCTAATATTAAACCAAATACTATATTAATTATAATTAATGGATGTGTAGCAGCTAATGTTTGTTAGATATCTGAAAATGTCTATAGATAAATACATTTTGTATACAGTGGACCCCCGCTTAACGATCACCTCCCAATGCGACCAATTATGTAAGTGCGTTTGTACGTGTATGTTTGGGGGTCTGAAATGGACTAATCTACTTCACAATATTCCTTATGGGAACAAATTCGGTCAGTACTGGCACCTGAACATACTTCTGGAATGAAAAAATATCGTTAACCGGGGGTCCACTGTATTGGTAAGAACATTCTCTAATGTGTGGCGAGGCTGACAGGAAGGTGGTGGGGGGCTATGGGCAGGCAATACCTTCTTTCTCTCCTTACTGTTACACTGTTGCATTATACTCGCCATTCAGTTGCCTTCAAAACGGTGCTACAACGTTATCACATGAAACATAATAAATATTGATATCCTATGCAATCTTGTTTATTTCATATTGATGAAAGTAAAACTTAAATATTGATTCTTTAGTGTTTTTACTAATTACATATATCACTTGTGCTTCATAAAAACCTCTGGTACGGTAATTTCTTGTCCGTTAAAGACCGTATGTGAGCTTTGAACCCTCGTATGTGTGCAGACTGATGAAGCCAATACTACTATAACCTCCTCATTACTTAGACTTTAACTTGCCTAGGTTTCTGTCACTAGTTGCTTATATCTTAGCCTAAGTGCCTCCTCTTCTAACTTATAAGCTTGAAGCTGTCAGTCGCTGATGCCATTCTCTTTGTACCCCAGGTATGTTGTACTTTCACTGTAGTTACAACTAAAGAATACTGTGATATATCTCGTCCCTATATAAACATGAGGTATATTGTACTTTCACTGTAGTTACAACTAAAGAATACTGTGATATATCTCGTCCCTATATAAACATGCACATACAGAAGTGAAATGATAAACCTTGTTTCACTAAACAACTGTCATTATGCCATATATAATATCTTTTATACTTATTTAGGCTTTTTTTGTAAACATAGATAATATCAAACCTTTTTCTAAAGTTCCCATTTAGCTGTGGGAGGACAAACTTGCATACTACTCCCTCTTGTGATAAAGTTGGTAGAATTACCGACAATATGTAAAGTAAAAGGACAAAAGTGCAACTAATGTGACATTTTATTGTGGCAACGTTTCGCTCTCCAGGAGTGGCTTGACAAAGCTCCTGGAGAGGGAAACGTTGCCACAATAAAATGTCACATCAGTTGCACTTGTGTCCTTTTACTTTACATACTCCCTGCCACAATTAGTTTCTCACTAAACACCTCCCAAAATGTCTCCCTCCTGTACATTTCTCTTCTCCAGGTGCATAATCACTTTCCACCCTTATATGCATACATATAAGCCTTGAATGTAGACATACAGCCAGGCCTAGATTATTGTGAAAGTGCAAGAATAAATAATGCTGTTTGTTTCCCGTACAAATTGTGCACACACATTATCTAAAATTTGATAATATGACCAATTGACAGGAATCATGATTTGCACTAATAAGAAACATAGCTGTATTTCTTTTCTTGTCATAGCTTTAATGAATATGCTGCTAATCCTGTGTGATATCCACTGGTGATATCACCTAATATACATATACTCATCGTACGTATATGGACAGTGATAGCACTGAGGTGATTTAGTCATGTAACAATGATAGTACATGAAATAACCTGCACAGACAATGAAACTTCAGCCAATGTTTTGGTCAGACTTTGACCATTACCTAGTTAACTGCCCCAGTTTGATGTAAATGGTGTCTTGGAAACTTAAGTGCAGGCTATTTGTATCACTCGGTGTATTGGCTTTGTATTAAAAACAGTTCATTACATTGTTTAATGGTGTTTAACCCCTTTTAGGGTTGGTGCCGTACTAGTAAGGCTTGCACTCCAGGGTTGGTGCCGTACTAGTAAGGCTTGCACTCCAGGGTTGGTGCCATACTAGTAAGGCTTGCATGCCAGGGTTGGTGCTGTACTAGTAAGGCTTGCACGCCAGGGTTGGTGCCGTGCTAGTAAGGCTTGCACGCCAGGGTTGGTGCCGTGCTAGTAAGGCTTGCACTCCAGGGTTGGTGCCGTACTAGTAAGGCTTGCACTCCAGGGTTGGTGCCATGCTAGTAAGGCTTGCACACCAGGGTTGGTGCCATACTAGTAAGGCTTGCACTCCAGGGTTGGTGCCGTACTAGTAAGGCTTGCACTCCAGGGTTGGTGCCGTACTAGTAAGGCTTGCACTCCAGGGTTGGTGCTGTACTAGTAAGGCTTGCACTCCAGGGTTGGTGCTGTACTAGTAAGGCTTGCACTCCAGGGTTGGTGCTGTACTAGTACGCATAAATTCTAGTGCAAGAAAGCTGGTAGGCCTACATATGAAAGAATAGGTCAGTGTGTGCAGTATAAAAAAAATCCTGCAGCACACAGGGCATAATGAGAAAAAAAAAATACTCTAATCATGTTTTTGGTTTAAAACAGCGTTGGTAAATATTCACTTGACACTTGGTAATTCTGTGCTTGGAAATACTTAACTTGATGAGTGGTAAATGTTTTATGGTTAAATATACAGGAGGCCCTCCACATTCATGAGGGTTAGGGGATCAAGAACCTTGCAAATCCGCAAATATGATGTAGGGAAATATAATAATGCTGTACTGTAGCGTTCACGAATGTTTTGATGCACAAATATATTGTAGGGAAATATAATAATAGTGTTTACTTAGCATAACAATACTGCTTCCTTAACCTATTGAACCACAATCAATCATAAAACACATGAAAACATCGTAAAATATTGTATGTGATTGGGCATTCGTGAATGTTCGAAGCTCATGAAAGTGGAAGGCTAGCCGTACTGTTGTTACCTGGTAAATCTGCCCTCAGGACTTTGTAATCTTATTCTTGGAACACTAAATGAAATGCCACTTGATATTAACCCCTTGACTGTTGCAACCCCAAATCCTGAGGCGTCTCCTGGTGTCGCAAAATCCCCCCATCCCCCCCCCAATTCTCATGAAATGATAGAGTATCTTTTCCCAGATGTAATGACACCAAAAGAACGAAATTTGATGGAAAACTGACGGAATTACGCTCTCTTTAAGTTAGCAACCTCGGCGATATTTACGAATCAGAGATTTTGGCCACTTTGAGCCCTATTTTTGAATAATTCCATTGTTCCAGTCGCCCAAACTCATAGCTATTTCTTTAGAACTTCATTTTTTCTATCGACTGAGTACAAGAAACTGCCCATTTACCGATTTCAACTACCCAATAATATGGTCAGAAATTTGCAATTTGGCCAATTTCACAAAAAATTAAATAATATGACAATTTCAAAATAGGGTCCAGAATGAGCAATGCAGACATTCCTGTCTCTAAAATAACATTTTCTTTGTTCATTAGTCATGTCTCCAGGCCTCTCTGATATTACTCTTGCTTTCTATTTTGAATTTTTATTCAAACCAAAAATAGAAGATTTATTGTTATGCAGACTACTACAATATTGTAATAATTGTATAAATAACATCAACCCATTCATGACTGCATATTAGAATGGCTAGTTGGACATTTATGGGAAAATGACATTTGTTTACTTTTGAATCGGCAAAAATCAAACATTTCCCCTACTTTGAGCTCCATTTCAAGGTTCTTTTCATAGTAAAACCAATCAAAATAACCTCTATTTCTATAATATGTTTTCCATTCTATCAAATGAGACCAAGAAAACGAGAATACAACTATAAATACTTTACGAAAATAGACCACAAAGTCGGCATTTTAATTAAAGAAAACGGTTGGAGTTTTTTTCTCATTATGCACTGCGTGCTGCAGGATTTTCTTTATATGGTGCACACAGACCCATTCTCTCACATGTGGGCCTACCAGCTTTCTCCTGCTTGATTTGAAGCCGCTAGAATTTACGAGTATATATAGGTCAAAAAAGGTGGCTTGTAAGGCGTATATATACACTCAAAAGGTTAACATGTTGGCCCATGACAGTAACTTCAGTATGTGTTACATATAGCAATAGTTTAAGTAAACTAGATGTCTCTCTTTATATTGCTTTGGATAAAAAATGTATTTTACGAGGAGCTGAACGAGCCACGTGGGTTTAGTGCTTAGTTATAGAATATAAGCATGTTACATGTATTTGATATAATTATTGAAAACTGGATTGCTGATATATATATATATATACAGTGGTGCCTTAATTTGTTACTGAACAAATTTGCTCCCATAAGGAATAATGTAAATTAAGATTAGTCCTTTTCAGACCCCCAAAAAATACACTAACATAATTGTTAGAGTTGGGAGATGTTCAAAATTCGAGGTACCACTGTACATAAGAACAAGAAATTTGCATATATGGAAAGGAGCTATAACGGGCAGATATTTTCTAAATGAATATTGTTCTGGTAATAATAGATGTATGACCCTGGTGGGTTTAGCGCATTGTTCTGATTAGAAATAAATACAATTGTCTTTCCATGACTAGATTTGTACAGTTTATACTGCTTGGCCTAGTGTTTTGCTAAGAGGTGTTGGTTTAGTGCTTAGCTGTGATTGTAATATTGTACAGAGAATTAGTAGGGAAACAGATTGGTATATAATATAAACATACAGGTCTCCCTCAACATTAACGTTTTCAACTTTCACGGGCTTCACACATTCGCGAATTCCCAGCCACCAAATCATATTTAAGTTTCCCGCCACCTGTGAGTCCCTCCGACCCCTGCAACTGGCAGCCAGCCCTCCCACCACTCAGTGTGGTGAGTGTTTTGTTTGCTCATTATTTGCTATTAAACTGCAGTATAAATAATGTAAACCCATTCATAACTGCATATTGGAACGGCTATTCGGACAGGTATTAGACGGTGACATCATGTGTTTACTCTTGAACACTGCAAAGAATTGAACATTTCTGCTATTGCTAATAATAAATATGATATAATTGAAGAAGGAAATTGTACAAAAATACGAGGGAGTGGTTGACACATCGTCAGTGTGACTTTGTTTATGCTGGAGTGAACATTAGTCTCCCTGCTCTTCCAAACATTTCACAATAATTCACTGTGTTTGGTGCTTGTAGATTGAGCGTGACTGGAGTGGTAGAGTCAGTGATTGAGGCAATGGTATTTAATAACATAAATGTTGTTAATAATATGTACTATTATTATTTATAACATATATGCTATTAAATACATACATGTTAATAATAATATGTACTATTATTATTTATAACATATATGTTATTAAATACCACTGCCTCAACCGCTGAATTATTGTGAAATGTTTGGAAGAGCAGGGAGACTAATGTTCACTCCAGCATAAACAAAGTCACACTGACGATGTGTCAACCACTCCCTCGTATTTTTGTACAATTTCCTTCTTCAATTATATCATATTTATTATTAGCAATAGCAGAAATGTTCAATTCTTTGCAGTGTTCAAGAGTAAACACATGATGTCACCGTCTAATACCTTTCCTAATAGCCATTCCAATATGCAGTCATGGATGGGTTTAAATTATTTATACTGTAGTTTAATAGCAAATAATGAACAAACAAAACACTCACCACACTGAGTGGTGGGAGGGCTGGCTGCCAGTTGTGGGGGTCGGAGGCAGTGGTGGAGTCTGTGGTATTTAATAACATACGTTATTAAAGCATAACATGTATATATTTAGTACAATTTACGACGTTTTCAAGTATTTTATGGTTCAACAAGTTAAGGAAGCAGTAATGTAATATATTTCCCTACAATATATTGGGGCACCAAACATTCAAGGTTTTTCAACATTCGCGAGGCTCTTGATCCCCTAACCCTCGCGAATGTTGAGGGAGACTTGTATATGATATATTTATGAATTTTTTATATAACTAGAGGGATTAATGAAATTATTTGTACATATGGAAGGAAGAGTTATAATAGATGAATGTAAAAGGAAGAGGTGCATTGCTGACGATATAATAGATGTTTAGTATGAGAACTAATCAGGTGCTGAGAAAGAGATAGTTATTGTGTGTAAATTAGGTTAGGCTTGGTAATGAAGTCCCTAATGGTGGCAGACAGGATGTTATAAGTGTACAGTGATTGAGAGGAGTAGGTAGGTGGGTAACATGCAAGGGTGTTCACCACATCTGACATTGTTGGGTGGTTCAATGATTTTTATTTCTAGAAAAGTTAATAGTAATTTTCTACCGTGTTAATATTTCTTCTTAATGTTCACAGGCGGCAGTGTGCGTCTTCCAGTGACGGCAACAGCAGCGGTGTGTGTCTATGACAGGAACAATGTTTTCAAGATATCTGGAAGGGCAGTCAATTGTTGGCTACAAATTTATAATTTTCTTATAAATAGTATATAATTTATTACTTATATTTTTTTCACTACCTATGATGAAACATATAAATTAAATTTGGGATAATGAAGATCTAGATAAAATTAATTTAGATCAAAATTCTATTATAATCAAGAAAAATGAATTTCTTTGACTCATTGAAGTTAAATATATTAGTATAAAAAAAATTTGATAGAATTTAAATATTTTAATAGTTCCAAGGCTTTAACCCCTCAAGGAAGGTTCCTTGATGTTGGTGAGGGGCTCTTGATTTAGGGAATTGAATCTGTGCTCCAGTTCCCCGAATTAAGCCTGAATGCCTTCCACATCCTCCCCAGGCGCTGTATAATCCACCGGGTTTAGCGCTTCTCCCTTGATTATAATAATAATCCAAGGCTTTAAATTATCTACCCATTCCTTAGATTGTCTGATGGATTCATATAATAAATGGTATACCCACCTATGGGTTTAGCACTCGAATTGATGAGTAGAGACAAGTGTCTTTCTTTGGATTCAATATGAATGTTGACTCCCATTCCTACTAAGGCTCTGGGTTTTGTGCTCCTCCCTTCTAATAGAGAAGACACTAGAATCTTTTTTCCCTTTAAAAAGATTTCTATGTAAATGGGAGAATGGTCATCTCCCTTTACTTGGATAAAACCCAAGTGCCATTACCAGTCTCTCTGATCAAGAGAGGTACCTTGATGCAAGTAATTAGAGCACTAATCTTTTTTCTTGAATCAAATATTTATTGCCTCACATAGAACCTGAAGAATTGAGACACTTATATAATATAAGGGAATCTTTATTGAGGAAATGTTTTCCCACACAGTGGTTTCACCAGTCAAATACAAAGCAGGAAGGTATAAGGAGAGTAGTAGTTTGAGGTAATCAGTCCCTCAGCCTGGAATCAATGTGTTCAGGGCCAGAGAGGTGGCTTATATACTGCACTCAGGTGAGTCAAAGGTGGACCATCCACTAGTTTAATTAAGAATTCTTTGTATCAAGATCCCATGATGTTGCGTTGTCTAAAACATATGATGAATAGTTTAGAAAACCAACCATTCATAACATCTGTCAGACACTGCAACATCATGGGATCTTTATACGAAGAATTAACCTACTTAAACTAGTGGATGGTCCAGCTTCGACTCACCTGACTGCAGTATATAAGCCACCTCTCTGGCCCTATGATTGACTGAACACATCAGTTACGAAATTTGCAACTTTTTAAACAATGTAATGGGAAAGGAAGGCATCTATGAGGAAAGTTCTGTATAAGGGAACATTAAACCACACAGTGACTGTGGTCTCTGACATGACATAAAAGAGATTTGTTGGTGTCAGCAAGCCTAACACTACTTTTGTGCTCTCTGAGTCAGAAAGAGAATGGCCAGTTTCTCCAAGGTACTGAATCAGGAGTAGGAAAGGCACTAAAAGTAAGTCTGATATCTGAGGAACAGAGAGAGAGAAGAAAGCACATGGGAAGGATAGCCAAGATGACAGAATGAATTATGAAGTGGAAATTTCTGATTCAAGGAACTGAGGGTCACAAATGTGGACACCATGGAAAAACACTTTTCTCAACATAAGAAGAGTAGTGAATGTACATGCCACTGTGCTTAGACTTGTCGTACACGGAAAGAGCAAAACTTGTATGTCTTTCAGCAGAGGGCATGTACATCAATGAAAGGAAGCAAAGAATTAGATTCCCATTCAGCTTTAAACTTAATGGAAGCAAAAATTATTAACCCTTAAACTGTCCAAATGTAGATCTACGTTTTACATGCTTTCAAACATAAAAAAAAAAAAAAAAACATAGATCTACGTTTGGAGCACTACACATGTGAACGCAGATCTATGTTTGGACAGTTTAAGGGTTAAGGACATTGAGAAATGGTGAAAGAGACTACTACAGCCATGAGAGCAAAGATGTAATCTACACAATGGAGTCAGAGAGATGGCCGCACACCTATAGTAAGTCACAGTATTGTGCCTTGTTATTTATTTAATTACATTTAGGGAAATAAAATTCAATTCAAAGAAAGGGAGGATAGGACAATCCCTTGGATCAAGAGCCCCTCATCACCTTCATAGGGTCCCAGAAAGTAAAATATGCTAAGATAGATAGGAAGAGAAATACAAAATTATAGCAGGCACAACGAATATAATGACGCCAAGGACTGGAGGTGACACAGCTTGTGCAGTACAGGAGCAATACCTTATATCAAGCAACCTTCGGGATTTTTCTTTCTTGACCACACACCACCTTTATGCAGTTATCACATCCTTGGACCTCACTACATATCAATCCAGTCCTGCAATAAACATATACATCTATAAATAAATTCTACTAATCACTGACTATGATATTTCTCTATACAGTGGACTCCCGCTTAACGATCACCTCCCAATGCGACCAATTATGTAAGTGTATTTATGTAAGTGCGTTTGTACGTGTATGTTTGGGGGTCTGAAATGGACTAATCTACTTCACAATATTCCTTATGGGAACAAATTCGGTCAGTACTGGCACCTGAACATACTTCTGGAATGAAAAAATATCGTTAATCGGGGGTCCGCTGTACAATAGTTTGAATTTTTCTGTAAAGTACATTAGTAAAATTAGTGCAAGACTAATAAGTGACTTTGGCCATTAACAAACTGCTACTTATGTAAACAATAGGACACTTACATGTACATTTCAATCCCACTTTTTCTCAGTTCACCAAATTAGGCATAAACTTCTTACAAATGTCAGCCACATTGTAAACTTCCAAGGAAATACTAATTCTAATTCAGGTGTATATCTGCAGTGTAGTCTTTATTTTTCAATGATACCATATTTCCTTTTAAACACTGTATCATTTTTGTACAAAACCAGATACCAGCCAGTAATAGGTCAAATGTGCCAACAGGCTCAGAACTAATGGCAGTTCTGATTCAAATACAAAGTTTCCCATTCACTGTGGTGTTATATCTTCGAAATTGGTCATCCTGTGTTATTTAACTATTGTAAGAGAATATGTTCATCACTTAATATTATAGCGCGAGAGTCCCCGTTTATAGCTAAAATAGAGACTTTTGGCGCTATATTATTATCTGTTAATATATGAAAAATACCATGGTATTATCACTATTTTGTTATTATTATCATTATTATTGTTAGGTAGGATTTCTTGTGTATATAGAGTTTAAGTCTCGGAACCATCCGGTGAATTGTTCAATTGTTTATGTCCGGCTGACTGACGTTTGTGTCAGGTGATCCAACCTGACGACGCGTCAACAGACTGGCAAGTAGTCAGTCTACTCCCTGCTCTAGCCCTGACAACTGATCAACAGACTGGCAAGTAGTCAGTCTACTCCCTGCTCTAGCCCTGACAACTGATCGTATATTGGCTCTTACGGTGTACAGTTTGAATGGTTTTGAGAATTGGACTCTAGAGCTGACTCAGTTTGTTCCTCATTGCTCTGAAAGATTCTTTTGATATTTATATTCTTGGTCAGTTCAGTAATCCATAGAGATACTTTACGGCCAGATTCAAAGGTCTTGTTAAATCTTGTACCTTTTGTATTTTGAGTCTACAGTCTTGTTAAGACAAAGACGTAAATGTTAATGAAGACTTAATTACAGGAAGAATAATTAAACTTCCTTATTAATGTGACATTTCCATGATTTTGAACTAAATGTATATGGTAAATTTATTGTACAAAGTATTAAGTTACATTAACTACAAAGAGAAGATAAAGTATTGTATTTAAATACTTTAATAAATTTGAATATTATTCTATGGAGTTTCCCAGTTGAAATTATTTCCCCTAGACTCTAAAATACCTTTAAATAACTCGGATCCAAAAATCTTGTTGCATAAGAAATAAATGGTAACAGGCCACATTCTGAAGTTCTTTAAAAAATTTCTTATTCGCAACAGTGGAAACTTACCAGTAAACTACTAAAGTCATCAGAATGAGTGGTTCCTGTGCACTTTTAACTCCTGTGGCCCATCGACTTGTTGGTGTTAAGTGTGCATCATTGTGGTGGTGAGGTACCATCGGATGGTTGGTGTTAAGTGTGCATCATTGTGGTGGTGAGGTACCATCGGACGGTGTTCAGTGTGCATCATTGTGGTGGTGAGGTACCATCTGAGGGATACCTCTTCAAAAATCATTCTGTGGGTTTATATTCATATAAAAGAAAGCAATTTGAGTGTGGCAAATCCAATAAGTCTATTCTGAATTAAATTCTATACTAGTGAGGGAGACTTCTAGGCTTAAAATTAAATGTAACATGGGTTAGAATTTACAGGCAAGATTATTAGAGCTCAAACAAGAGGTGGAGTACAGGAGGTTCATGTAGTTTCCAAATTCAAGGTAATATTATTAGAGTTTGATCAAGATGTCAACTACAGAAAGAGTTAGTTAGCACTGAGATAATATGGACTCAAACTTGTAGTACTGATTAACCGAATTCTTTTCTTGATTATCATTCGAAAAAACTTTGTTGGCACCGAATACTCAAGTTTATATGTAAAAATCACTTAAGTTTGCATAGTTGATTTCCTTCCCTTCAACACAAGTTGGGATTGTTTTGTTCTTTTCTCAGTGTCATCAAAGTATTTTGGATCTTTTTTCTCACATCATCTCTATTCTGGATATTCAACATGGCACCCGAGAGGAATATCAGTGATGCTAGAGTTATCAAGCAGAATATAATAATCAGCTCCAAGGGTACTGAACATGGACACTTTAAATATGTATAATGCTTGTATGTTTTGTCTGAGATAATTCACCATACATACAATTAGACAGAACACAAGAAAAGTGTCCCTACTTAATGCTCAGAAAGTAAGACACAATACTGCAAAACATTGCTTAAGGACAGTGTTGACAACAGTACGTTTGTGTGACTGTTTGAAAGGACAATCAGTTTCATAACACAAGATGTGGAGTCAAGAGTACAGCAGCTGATCACAATCCAATGCAAAATTTCCCTGCATACTCTAAGCAAATTATTTCTGAGAACAG